TAGTTTGGACATGTTGTCCCTCCTTGGAGAGGGACATCATGCTTGGGAGGGTGGAGGGACGGAGCAGGAGGGGAAGACCCTCTATGAGATGGATTGATTTGGTGACTGGGGTAATCAGGATGGGTGTGTCAGAGGCAGTGTGATTGGCACAGGATAGAGCAGGGTTTAGGGCTGTTGTACATAGGGTCACTATGAGTCACAAGCGACTCGATGGCACATAACAATAATCCCTTTTGGTAAATATCCTGATTGCAATTAAAAGATAATTTTTTAAATGCATTAAGAATATTTTTACAAAATAACTATAAGACATCATCTCATCCCAGTAAGAATAGCAAAATTTAACAGAACAGCAAGCAACAAATGCTGGTGAGGTTGTGGAGAAACTGGAACCCTTATTCACTGTTGGTGGAAGTGTAAAATGGTGCAACCACTGTGGAAAGTGGTGTGGCGCTTTCTCAAAAAGTTGCAAATAGAGATACCATTTGACCCAGCAATTCCACTACTGGGAATATACCCCAAAGAGACCATAACTGCCACCCAAGCAGATATATGCACACCCATGTTTATCGCAGCTTTGTTCACCACATAGCAATGAGTTGGAAACAACCTAGTGCCCATCAACAAATGAATGGATAGAGAAGCTGTGGTATATTCACACAACAAATACTATGCTACATTGAAAACCAACGAACTCATGCAATATTATTCAAAATGGGTGACCCTGGAAAACATTATGCTGAGTGAAGTATCTCAGTAACAAAAGGATAAATACTGCATGGTGCCACTGTTGTAAAACAGGACTGACTTGGGGTTGGAGGGGAGACTGAAAAAGATGTGATAAATTATTAGACGGCACATAACAATAACAACAATACATTGAAACAGATGAGGGAGAAAACTGTTTAAAAGGGATATGTGATTAGTTATTATTGTCATGACAGGAGTCCAGAATGAAGGCTGCATAGTGGAGTGGACCTGGAGGGAGGGATTGTATAACAATGAAAGAATTTTTTTCTTTTACTTTTCTTTTTTTTTCACTTTTCAAAGAGAAAAGTGTACTGGGGGGAAAGGTGGGCAGGGAGAGAAGTGCAACAATGAATGAGAAGAAATCCAAAGTCTGTAAATTTTCATTAAAATTTATAGTATTTTTTTTAAAAAAAGAATATTTTTATTCACTATAAATGAAGTTCTATTTCCTAAATATAAACAAATCATGACTTCCCAAAGGGACACTTTATGGTAAAGTTCACATTCAGATTGATCATGGGCCAGAATTGAGCCCAAAGCCTAGAGCACTCCCAGTTAAAAGTCAGGACACTAGTTTTTGAGAAAAGGCAAGTAATTTCATGCCGAGGGCAGAGCAAAGAACCAGGAAGTTGATAAACGCAGATCTGACTCCCTGGACAACAAGGTTTACAGGGTTGCTAATTTGGGGAGTCATTCATAAAAATTCTAGAAATCGACCTGCCTATAAATTTAGGTTTCTCCTCTGATTTTGTAATGACCTTTTTGCTTTCTTCATGGGTGATATCCTTGATATCATTCCACAACTCATCTGGTCTTCTATCGTTGGTGTTCACGGCCTCACATTTATTCTTAAGATGATCATGAAATTCTGATGGAATTGATTCAAGATCAAATCTTGGTTCCTATGGATTTATTCTCATTTTCTTTGGCCTCAATTTGAACTTGTATATGAGCTATTGATGATCTGACCCACAGTCTGCCCCTGGCCTAGTTTTGATTGCTGATACTGAGTTTCTCCAATGATTTCTTCCACAACTGCAGTCAATCTGATTCCTGTGCAGCCCATTGGGTGAAATCCATGTGTAAAGTCATCTTTTGTGTCTTTTAGGAAAAGTATTTGCAAAGAATAAATCCTTGTAAATATAAAATTCAATCATTCTGTTTCCAGGCTCATTTCTATCACTAAGCCCATATTTTCCAACTACTTTTCCTTTTTCATTGCTTCGTACTTTTGCATTCCAGCCACCAGTTATCATTAGCACATCCTGATTGCATGTTCGGTCAATTTCAGACAGCAGAATTTGGTAAAAATTCTCAATTTCTCCCTCTTTGGCACTGGATGTAGGAACAAATACTTGAATAATAGTCATATTAACAGTCTTCCTTGTTTTTGTATGGATATTATCCTAACACAACATTGTATTTCAGGATAGAACTTGCAATTGACTTTTCCCTATGAATGCAACAAAGTTCTTCTGGTATTTGTTGCAGACCAAGGGTAAAGTATTTTTATTATAAGTATTAATAATGAGACAGATCACCAAGAATGTAGGAGGAGAGCAACAACGGAAGTGAACTGAAGCGCCGATTCCAGCTTCCCTGTCTTTCTTGAAAATTGCCAGGGAGTAAATCACAAAGAGAATTCATGCAGGTGAAGCTAAGCTTTTTCTATTGAAAACCTTCTGCTTGACTCAGGAGGGGGGCGTTAGCAAATATAATGCAAGAATCCTGTAAACGCTTAAGGATTGCCTTAGTGTCCACCCCTGTAAACATTTCAGGATTGCCTTAGTGCTTCAGGGTGAATTCCAGCTGGTACCAGCCTCCCTCATAACCTGAAGCATCATTCTGTTTATTACAAATATTCAGTCTGAAATTTGACTTCCCATAGTTTTTCATTCCCTGCATAGTAGTATATCATATCTGATTCAAAGTGGCCATAGCTGGTCCATCACATCTCACTAATGCCTAGTATTTATGTGTTCCATTTCATGTGTAACAACACTCGATTTTCCAACATTCAAGCTATGAACATTCCATGTACCAATTGTTAAATGATGTTTACTGATTTTCCTCATTCCAACTAACTTACACAATTGTGCTTAGATCCACAATTAACACCCTTGGTACGAGCAGTCAGGAAATAAGGAGATACATTGCAATGGGAAAAATCTGCAGTTAGGGACCTTTCTAAAGCATTTAGGAGTAGTAATGTCAGTTTGAGGACTAAGGTGCACTTGATTCAGGCCATGGTCTTTCTGATTACTAGCTATGCATCTGAGAGCTGGACAATGCATAAGGATGACAGAATAAGAATTGATGCCTTTGAGCTGTGGTTTTGGAGAAGAGCACTGAACATCCCATGGACAGCCAAGAGAACGAATAGTTATATGTCTTGGAGAAGGTGCAGCCGAAGCACTTTTTGGAGGCAAGACTGATGAGGCTTCATCTAACATACTTTAGATATGATGCTAAGAGGTGCTATTTCTTGGAGAGGGATATGATGTTGGGAAGTGTGGAGGGTTGGCAAAGGAGAGGAAGACCCTCAACCAGGTACAGTGACAGGGTGACTGCTGCAATGGGCTCTTGTGTGTCACAACGTGTGAGGATAGTGCAGGACAGGACTGGTTTCAGATCTTTTGTTCATACGGTCACTATGAGTCATAGTCTACTCTATGGCACCTAACAATAACATAAATTTAGGGTGAAGTGAGTGTATGTGGGGTGAGCGTATGTGCAGTAGTCATATGTCCTATGTGCAGTAGATGGTGGCCTTAACACAATTTCTTCCTTTTTTTCTGTACATGTGCTTTGTGCCAAACTTGGTTACAGCCAATTTTAAGCATATTCTTCCTGAAAGCTTTTAAGACCTGAAAGACCAAAGAAAACCTCAAAACTTTAAGGAAGTTAAGTAAAACTATAGTTGGAGGAAGGGTTACTAAGAGAACGTAAATTCTTTGGCTGAATGAGGCTGTTCAGGGATGGGCAAAAGTGATCTCATGTGTTGGTCCCTGCAGTTAGCCTTTACAAGCACTTGGTACCCATAATGCACAGAATTCTACAAAATACATATTCCTATAGTCTTAAGCCTATTAGAAACAAACTTTACAAGATTATGTAAAGGCAGAATAGAAAGATTAATTCACAGTCATGGTCCTAAGAGAGTTTTGCCCTAGTGGCTCTGCTTGCATCCCAGCCTCACCTCGTTCATATCTCTCTTAGAAAATGAACCAGTGACTCCACAAGGCAGTCTACTTTATTATGAAACTTGGGAGTTTCTCTGATTAAAATCATGTAGGAAAGAGGCCTGGTCATATGTATATTCACTTCTCTTTCCATTTGTCCTGAAGAGTTTCTAGAAGTGCAACAGGAAGTACTAGTGATTGTGTTTGTCCCTAGCACCTGATCCAAGCCATGGACTTTGCAATTACTTGCTAATCGAAACCTCTGAGCTGTGGTGCTGGAGAAGAGTACTGAGCATTACCATGGACTTCCAAGAGAACAAAGAGATCTCTCCTGAAGAGGGTGAAACTAAGCTGCTCCTTGGAGGCAAGGGTTTTTGAAGCTTCTTCTCACATGCTTTGGACATGTTGCTAGGAGGTGCCAGTCCTTGGAGGACATCATCCTAAGAAAGGTGGAGGACAGTGCAGGAGAGGAAAGCCCGGGATAAGATGGATTGACACAGTAAGTGGGGTAATGAGGTTAGGTGTGCCAGAGTTCAGAGCTATTGCAGATAGGATCCTTGTGAGTGGCAGGCAACTTGACAGCACATAACTACTAGAAGGAAGTCTAAGGTTAATCTATAGTCAAAAACAGTGTTAGCTAGGGAATCTAAGCTTCTTTGGAATCTCTGTATGCCTTTTTATGATAGAGGCAGCTACATTATCAATTGCAAAGGTGAAATTTAGAATAACTACTTCATCATAGGCAAACTTACAGGCCTGGAACTTATTTCATTTAGACCTCCTGGGAAGGGCTCTTTGAAGAGGCAGGTCAGAAAACTGTCCTAGAGTGCATGTGCTAACCTATCTCCATACCTTTTTGTTGTTGATTATACTTTACTACATCAGATGGGTGAGGGCTTTGGGGGACAGTGGGGTGTACTCAGTCCTTCTTAGCAGCCGCCTTCCTCATAGCGGCCAGGACATTGCTGAGTTCTTCTCCCTTCCTCTTATCATGGGTGTGTGTTCCCACCCTTTTCTTGATGAACTTGAGGGCCAGCTTGTCCTTGGAAACCTTGAGCAGCCCTCCTCCTAGACCATATCCTGCAAGAACTTGGTGTGCTTGGTGAGGCGCCCGCGGAGGCGGTTGTGCCTTCGCTTGCTCACGTTCTTGGTGACTTTGTGGCCCTGGTTGAGGCCCATGGCCATAGGGTAGCACACAGCCATGGCTGCTGCACGTCTATGGCTGCCACAGCGGAAGCCATACCTTTTAAATCTATATGCTGAACAGATTATCCAGGAGGCTGGGGTCTATGAGGAATGTGGCATCAGGATTGGAGGAAGACTGATCTATAATCTGCATTAGGCAGATGACACAACCCTGCTTGCTGAAACTGAGGAGGACCTGAAGCACCTGCTGCAGGTTAAAGGACTGCAGCCTTCAATACAATTGAAGCTCAACACCAAGAAAACAGAGACTTACCATTGGCAGCATTATGATAGATGGTGAAGAGACTGAAATTGTTAACAGCTTCAGTTTGCTTGGCTCCACAATCAACACTCTCGGTACTAGCAGCCAGGAAATCAAAAGATGAATTGCATTGGGAATGTCTGAGACCCCTCCAAAGTACTGAAGAGCAATGATGTCAGTCTGTAGACTAAGGTGCGCCTGATCCAGGCCATAGTTTTCACAATTACTTGTTATGTGTCAGAAAGCTGGACAATGACTAAGGATGACAAAGTGAAATGATACCTTTGAGCTATGGTGCTAGAGAAGAGTATTAAAGATACCATTGACTTCTAGGAGAATAAACAGCTTCACCCTAGAGAGGGTGAAACCAGCTGCTCCTTGGAGGCAAGGATTATGAGGCCTCATCTGACATATTTTGGGCATGTTGCAAGGAGGGAGCAGTCCTTGGAGAGGGACATCATGCTTAGAAGTGTGGAGGGAGAGCACAAGAGAGGAAGACTCTCATTGAAATGGATTGCTTTAATGACTCGGGTAATGTGTCAGAAACAATAAGGTTGGCACAGGGCTACTGTACAGAGGGTTGCTGAGTCACAAGTCGCTGTAAGTCACAGTGACTCGATGGCACATGACAACAGAACCCTTTGTTTATTAAAACTGAACAAGTTTAATGAACTTCAGAAAAATCTTACAACCAACCCTGGTAAGACATACACTTCACTAGTCTTAGACTTTTAAGTTAATAGCAGTTGGTCCAGAGCCTGTGTCTGAGGCAGGCCACCACCAGTGACCCCAGGCTTTCCCACTAGCAGGAGGCAGGCAGTGAGAGTGTCATAGAGGAGAACTGCTCTGGAATTCCAGGCTCTGTGGCCCCTGCACAGTAGGGAGCAAGGCTAAAACTTCCCACACCAAGATCTCGTTGTGGGCCGCTGTGAATAGGAGCTGCGCAGACGGGGAGAAGCAGCACAGGTGGACAGAGTCGTCATGGCCAGCGACGTCCTCTGAGGTCCTTGACCTGAAGTCCACCAGCCTCAACAGGCGCTCTGTGGGTAAGTGCGGGCAGCTCCAGTAAAGACCCCACCTTGGTCAGGGAGTTCCTCATCCTCCCACACCAGTCCTGGGTAGAGCTGTCACCTGTTCCATCCAGGTACTCATCCCTCACCCGTACTCCAAAACAGAGTCCTCACTCCCCACTGTGTCACCCTCCTAGGTCAGACTCATCTCAGATAGGGCCCTCAACTACACCCACCTACATAATTTCCAGGTCAGGGCCCCAATCCCCTCCAACCAGCCCTGAGTGGGTCTTCACCTCCATGTCCCCAAATCCCTCAGGGCGGCACCCTCAGCCCATTTCAGATGGTATTCAGAGTTTGGGTTCTGGAGAGGGTTCAGTCTGGGAAGGGGTCAGCATGGGGAGGGGTTGTACAAAGCAGAGAATACATAATACCTACCAGCAAAACCAACTGCCGCCAGGTGGGCTCCTGGGGACAGGCTCAGAGACTTGGCGAAGAGGGGCATTGGGATTGTCTCCACCACCTGCCAGGAGTGAGGTCAGGTCTGGCCCCCATGTCCTTCCCTAACCAGGCTGGTGAGTCCCATGTTGTGTTCCGCCCACCACCCGCAGGGCACACCTGCTTCTGGCGAAGGCTGTAGAGAAGCAGCCCAGTCCTCAGTCCGAGACCGGCGCACACCAACAGGTCCTCGTCCCAGGGGCAGAAGACAGCAAGGGAGGGTGGTGGGTGATCAGGAGGCTGCAGGGCACATACGCTGTGTTGGGCAGAATGGCACTGCCCCCCCAATGTGCCTCACCCAACATCCCAACACCTGCTCTCTTCTGCCCTTCCCTGAACTCCCTTCCTGTGCCCTGCCCCCGAGTGCCATCTCCCAAACCACATCCTGTAACTCTTCAACTCTTCTTACCTCTGCGGGCACAGGTGCTGGGAAACTGAGCCAGTCCACAAGTTCACAGCGGTCCCCCAACCAGTCTGCCGCCCAGACACTGACCCGCTGGTCCCCACTGGTGGCCAGCCACAGGTCTGTCCCCGGCAAGCCAAAGTCTGCATGCTAGGGAGGTCAAGGGAGTTGGTGCGTGCCCCTGCCCACTCTGACCCCTGCTGCACACACCTCCATTCTGTCCCATAACTCCCAGTTGGCTTCACCTCTTTGCTTCTGGTTTGGATGACAGAGATTGGAGCACCCTGGTGGTCTTTCAGCAAACGGACAGTCATCCCTGTGCAGGGTCGGCTGACCACCACCAGCCCATCCTTGTCCCCAGAGAGAATGGTCTGACCTAAGCCAAAAGGGGTACTATGTCAGCCTACAAAGTCGTCCTTCTGTGGGTTCAAGCCCCCAGCCAGCCCACACTGTTGTCACCTAGATGTCCTAGGCCCCACTCATCCAACTTTTTTTTTCTTGTTATGTACCATCTGGTTGGATCCGACTGGCACAGGAGACTGCCCTGACTTTTCCAGTAGAGCACATGGTAGATTCAGAGCAAGTGTGGAGCAGCTTCCTGCCTCTAGGCTCCCAGAGCTCCCTCCTAGGCCCTCCTTGTACAATGCAGCTATTCCCCCTATCCTCACCAACTCAGGGGAAGGCCTCACCCTCAGCCTTCAGGGAAGGCCACACCTATGATCCCTGCCTTCCCCAACCTCTCAGCAGAGAAAACCTCGCCCTGCCCCTTCAGCAGAGAAAGTCATGCCTCCACTCTGCCCTCACCAATGGAGAAGGCTCCACTCCCCTCACCAATGGAGAAGGCTCCACTCCAGCTGCCCTCACCTTCCCAAAAGGCCACGCCCCATCCCTCACCATCACTGGAGAAGGCCCGCCTCTCCCCTCAAGGTCAGCACACAAGGCCTGTTCCCACTGCTCACCATCTGTAGAAAAGGTCACAGCTGTCAGTGCACAGGGGTGCGGGTGCATCTTGAGCTCCATCTCAGTGTGGGAAACGCTGAAGACACGCAGAGTGCCGTCGCTGTAGCCAGCCACCAGCCGCTGGTGTCTGCACGATGGAGGACTCCATGCCAAGCAGAGACAGCTCTGGGATGTGAAGAGCCAGTCAGCCCCACCAGGGTCTCAGAAGGTGGACAGCCCGCCTTGCCACTCCCAGCCCGCCGGCCCCTGACTCATACCTGGTTTAGCACCTGGAACTGGACCACCAGCTCCATGCTGGCCAGAGACCACACCCGCACACTGCCATCCTCGCCACAGGTGGCACAGTGGGACTCGTCAGGGCTGAAGGCCACCTCATTCACCTGTGGGGCATGGCCAGCTGAGGGACACTCCTGCCCCATCCAGGGAACCTGACCTGGAACCCCCAAAGGCCCTGAGGTACCTAACACTCATCATTGGGCAGGACAGACTGAACCAGACCAACCTGGCTGGAGTGAAGAGGAATGAACCAGCCCCAGAGCTGGGAGTGAAGAGGTGTGAAACTCCTCACCAGGAGCATAGAGGTATGGACTAGCTCCCCCTGTGAAGGGGTAAACTCCCCACTCCCCCTCCAAAAAGGTGTGAACTAGTTCCCCTCAAAATGAAGGAGCATGAGCCAGCCTCCTCCATGAAGAGGTGTGAATTAGTCCCCCACTTCGGGAATAAGGTGTCAACAGGCCCCTGGACTTCTCTGCAAGGTCCAGGTGCAGGAGGGCAGCAGATATGTGACCCTGAGTGTGGGAGTGACACAGGGCAGGGAGCAGGCACTCACCTTGCTCCTGTGGCCGCTGACTAGGCGAGTGCTGGCACCCTGGACCCAGCTGACATACCAGAGAGTGCCTGCTGTGGTGCCCACAATGCCCATGTCCATACTGTCATCAAAGGAGGCGCTCACGATGGCCCCATCTAGTGTTAGCTCGCGCTCCAGGAGGACAGCACTGGACCTGTGGTGGCCAAGCAAGAGAAGTGACCTTGGCCTCAGGTTCCCCCCGCCCCAGCCCAGTCCTGCAGGTGTGGCACCTCCAGGCCCTGTTAGACCCTAGACACTCACCTGGCACCCGAGCCCTTCAGCCTAAGCTCTAGCACGGCCCCCACTGCCCACAGGCGCAACTGTCGGGTGTTGCTGCCGCTGACCAACCGTGTCCCTGAGCACACCAGCACCCCTGCAGACCGGGCAGTGGTCAGTGACCCTGATGTGCAACCAGGAAGCCCTAGCCCACTGCCTGGCTACCTACCAATCTCCCCATCATCGGCCTCCCAGGCCAGGAAGCAGCAACCAGACTGAGTATCCCAAACACAGATGTGGCCGGCGTTGGAACCGCAGTAGAGCAAGGGGGCAGGGCCGAAGCAGAGCGCAGTCAGCTCACCAGCTGCCACCTCCACAGGGAGTGGCTCAGTGTGCACCTGGGGCAACAAGGGCCATCAGTCACCTTAGCCCCTCCAGCCAGACCCCACCCAGCCTGGTGCCCTTAGCCAGCACCTGGAGTCGGATGTCCGCCCCATGCTGCTGCAGGGCCCAGAATGTGATGGAACCCCGGCCCACACAGGTGAGCTCAGTGGTGTCCCCTGGGCTGAAGGCCACACCGTGCATCGGCTGCGCTAGGCGTGTGGAAGTCACCAGCTCATGGGTGGCTGTGCTCCATAAGGCAAGCGTGCGGTCACTGTAGTCGCCTGAGAAGACACCAGAGATAGGAAACTAGGTCAGAGCCCAGGCAAGACTCCGAGAGCCATCCCCAGGCTCGCCTGCCCCCGCTGACCCAGCGTGACGAGCAGCCTATCGTCTGGCGAGAAGGCCAAGGCTTGGACCGCGGACTCATGGTGCAAAATGAGACCACGACAGGCTCCCGTGGACACATCCCAGAGGCGGACTTGGCAGCGCGCAGTCTCACTGCCGCAGCATGAGGCAGAGGCCAAGACCTGGGGGTGAAGGGGGACAGCAAGCACGGTTAGCTGAAAAGTTCAATCTGAGGCCCATCTGGCTCTGTCTGCAGGTCTAAGTGGTAGGCACCTGGGCATTGTGGCTGAGGGCCAATGTGGAGACCTCCTCAGGGTGGCCGGGCCAGTGCTGCTGGGAGCCGGAGTGCAGGTCTTCCACTACCACCAGACTGCCACATGAGTAAGCGAAGAAGCCTGAGGGGCCACGGGCCATCAGGGGAGTCTAGGCATCCTCCTGCCGGCAGCACCCAGGAACACTCCTGTACACCCTCGGGAAGGCCCGGAGGAATGGGCAACCGCACAGAGCCCCACCTGTGTCCGGCCTCCACACCATGTTGGCCCGTCCGTTCCCGTTGTAGCCGACCACAGCCTTCAGACGCAGCCTCTCACCACCAGCCGGAGCGTAGGTCAAGTTCTGTGAGGACAAAGACATGGGTCACTGGAGCAGCTGTCCAGACCCCTCAGGGCTACACAGCCCCGACTTCCACTTAAGGACCACGCAACTCCCCACCTGAGGGCCATGTCTGATCTGTCAGTGTGAAGATGGGGAGTGGGTGGGACCCAGGATAAGAGAAGGGAAGAAGGGATGCCCTTGAGCCCCGTTCTATAAAATCCAGGGACATGGCCCCAGCTGCTCACCTTGGGGAGCTGGGAGACCTTGAAGCGTGCCACAAAGTGCTTGTAGGAGTCAGGGCGAGTGGCAGGTGGGGCCTCAGGAGTCCTGGAGCTGTTGGTACCTGCTGGAGGGGTGATCAGACATTGAGTCTCCCTGGGGGGACTCCTCAGCTACCCCAGGTAGCAGAGAACACACGGACCACACCCTAACCCAAGTGGGTATGCCTTTTTTTACCTATTATCACACTCCCTCAACTGGTCCCCTCAGAGCTCAGGGGCTGCAAAGTTCCTGTTTTGGAGAATACCCCCACAGCCCTGCAAAGCTTACCCAGCAGGTTGTGAGACAGGATGGGCTTGCTGAGCCCCCCGGGAACCCCTGTGACCCTCCTCAGCCTGTGCCCTCCAGCTCCTTTCTCCACCAGCACAGGAGGGGTTGGGGCTGTGGAGGGCTCCATGAAGGTGTTCTTCTCACTGGGCCTTTCGTCCTCTACCAGCGAGGACACACCTGAGGAGGAGGCAGTGAGGAGGCAGGGTGGTGCCCAACGCAGCCAAACCACCCAAAGGCCATGCACACCCAGGCTGACTGGGCTCTCACCATCACTGTCCTCTGAAGATGGGGTGCTGATGGTCACCCGAGGCGGGGAGGCCTGGGATGGCACAGGCACTAGGAGCCGGGGAAGCCCGCGGGCCCTAAAGGCTGCATCCTCGTCCTGCTGTCCTGTGACCAGTTCTGGGGACAGAAGAAACCGCAGGGACAGCACTCAGACACAGTCCATGGGAAGCAGCCAGGCTGTAGGGGGGCAGGGCAGACAAGTCAAGAACTAGTGCCTAAACACTTAAACATCTTGTCTAGAACAGCCCTAAACAGGCCCTGCTCTGGGCCAGGACACCGGCCCTTGCACAGATCAGCCCACTCACCTGCCTCATAAACTGAGGGCTGCTGAGGGGAGTCTTCAGAGCTACGGAAGTAACAAGAGAGCGATAGTATTAAGAAGGTGCTGTGTGACCATGGATGTGGGGACAAGGATCACTTGCCTGCCTTGAGGTGTCATCTTGGAAGGGACCAGGACATCCCACAGGAAGATGGCATCCCCCACACTGAGGACTTGGCACTGATCGGGGGTGAAAGCCACAGCCTGCACAGGTTCTGAGTGTCCAATGAACACCTAGGGAGGCATGTCACACAAGAAAGAGCTCTGTCAAGCAACAACCCAGCCAGGGAAGCCCCAGGAGTTCTGGGGGTCCTGAGACCCTACCCTCTGCACCCCACCAGGAACTTGGGCCCTGAGAAGAGACTGTCCCCAGTCCTAGTCATCCCCTCAGCACACACCTGGCAGCCGGAGTGCACCTGTGTCGGGGAGTTCCACACCTTGATGGCCCGGTCACTGGCTGTCACCAGGAGGCGGGCATCCTCACTAAAAGCCAGGGAAGAGCAGGCCACAGGGTGGACACCAGACAGCTGGGAGTAGTCAAATGGAGAGAGATGTGAGGGTATGAAGCTGGGACCAGAAGGCCCAGATCTCCCCTCAGCACAGCCAGCTCAGTGCCCCCGACTCACTTCCCGGATGATGCGCCCCGACGTGGCATCTAGCACCAGGACTCTGGTGGAAAAGGTAGACACTAGTAGATGGCTGGTGGGCAGGGGCCCAAAGCAGACAGCCACAGCAGAGTCCAGGTGGGTGCTGGCTGGGTCCAGGCCACTGACGTCCACCCGCAGGAGCTGGGGCAGCAATGAGTGGGTGTTGGTTGGCCACTGTTATTGGGCAGAGCACACCACCCACAGGCCTAGACCTAAGAATATATTCCTCAGGGTCCAACCAGGCAGTTCTCTGTCCGGAAGTCCTTCTGCAGAACGTGCGTCCTATCTGTCCCCCATCCCTTGCATCATGTGGTACAGGGGATCAGCGAGGACTTGCATGGCCAAAGTGGACATCTACACAGGGTGACCCCAGTCCTAACTAGATGCACAGGAGGTCCTAGCCACTCACCTCATCCAAGGAGGCTGTGCCTACGATGCTCACTGTATGCTTGGAAGGCCCCACGAAGGCCAGCAGGAGGCTGTCCCGGCTGACAGCCAGAGCGTTGGCACTCAGCCAGGCATCCTGGCACACCATGTTCCCTGGGGCAGGACAGGTGAACTGTCAGCTAAGCAAGACTTTAAGTGCTGTGAGGCCTAAATGCACACTTTCCTGCACTATGCTGGCAGGGAGCACGGGGCGAGGGGCACAGAGTGGGTAGACATGGGCCTGACCTGCCACACGGAGGACAGAGCACCGGAGGGCTGCACAGTCATACTGGGTCAAGGCACCCTGAGAACAGGCACTGAACAGGAAGCGGCCATCTGGGGTGACAGCCAGGCCAGTCACAGCTCCTTTGTGTCTCCTACACCACACAGGGGGTAGATAAGGGGCTCTGAGCAGTGCTGAGATCCCCCTGATGGCCTCTGCCTGCCTAGTGCCCCACACTCCGGGCTTCCATCATCCTGGGCTTCCCAGTAGCATCTGCCCCTGGCATACCTGTGCTCCACCAGTGCATCTGAGGCCACCAGGCTGAAAGACTGCACAGCGCCACTGCGGAAGCCACAGAACAGGGTCTGCTGTGTGGGGTGAAAGGCCACGGCACATGGGGCCTCATTTGGGGGTGTGAGGTCATACAGCTGTGGCAGAAAAGACAGTGGCAGGCAGAGCCTGTAGCCAAGGGCCAGAGCCAACAGATGAGGAATGACCTTACCTGTAAGGGGTGGCACCTATAAGTAAGGGTGAGGTTTAGGGTTGATAGGCCTACGGCCTGCAGGGACAAGGCAGGGCTGTGTACCCACACCCACTTTCTAGGCATCCGTGGTGCCCCACTTCCCTGTCCCCCCTCCTCTGTCTGCGCCCTCTGGCTACACCCCACCTGTCGCAGAGTCACCAAGTCCCAGATGCAGACTGTGCTGTCCTGGGCAACAGTGGCAAGCTGCCTGCGGGCAGGCTCCAGCGCACAGGCCAGCACAGGGGCAGTGTGCGAGCGGACCAGTACATGGTACTCGCGGGACGCTATGTCCAGGAATCCCAGCTGGCCCGTGGAGGTGGTGGTCAGTACCCGCAGGCCATCAGGGCTGACACACACTGAGCTGACCGGACCCTCGTGCTCTGTGGGGCAAAGACAGGTTACCTCCCCTGACAACAATCAGCGGGCACAAGTCCTCAGCCAACTACAACTTCCACATTCCCAAAAGGCAAAAGAATCCACTCCTCCAGCCAAGAGTCCCAGATTCTCGGGCCAGGCTTGCCCATTGGCCACAGAGCTGGCCTCCAGGACTTGGGGACCGAGGCCCTCACCTGTTTCCAGGAGCACGGCAGAGAAGTCCAGGGGCCAGAGGCGCAGGTAGTGGTCCTCGGAGCCAACGGCACATACAGCTGCAGAGATGCTGAGGCTACTGATGACCACACCATGGCCTGCAGAGGGGCGGTGACAGGGGTACCCCTGCCACAGCTATCCCTAGACATGTGGGGTACAGACCCTACCTCCAACACTGTCAGAGGGGCTGCCACCAAAATGACCCCAAAATTCCTGGCCATGGAGGTAACCACAGGAACATGTGTATCTCAAGGACAAAGGCCACCAGGTGTCACCCACTACCAGCCTGGAACTGTCACCCCCTCACTACCCACCAGTTAGAGTGCAGGCAGGTGAAGCAATGCATCCCACTAGGCAGAGGGGGGTCCCCGTCTTGGACCAAAGGATAAGGAAGAACTATGAGGGGCAAAGTTGAAGACAGGCAGGCTGCGCCTGGGGGAGGGGGTCGTACTTGGTCCTATTTGAGAAGCACGCCCAGGTCCGTCCCTCCCACCACCTGGTGAGGATTTGATACTGCTTGTCCACCAAGGGGTAATACCTAATTCCAGCCATGGAGCTGGTGCCCTCCTACCTGGGGTGAAGGTCGGTTTCTGTGGATCGGGGACATCAGGGAGTCGTGTGGGCAGCAGGCGGCGAGCATGCCGCACAGCCATGCGCTGGACATCCACCTCCAGGATGTGACCACTCCGGCTGCACACATAACTGTTCAGAGGACAGGGGCACAGGGTGGGGTGTGAGGGGGAACATGTAGGGTGGGGCTCCCAGTCTTGCAAAGGAAGGGACTTAAAGCCTGCATGAGGGTGCTCCTGGGAAGGGACAGAGCTAGCAGCCAGTGGAAGGAGGTGCACCACCTCTACCTACAGCTGGTGCTGCAGGGCAGGGCAGGGAAAGGCCGGGCTGAGCACAGATGGGATAAGTCAGCTCACAGCGTGTGCGGCCCATCTGGGTCCCGATCAAAGGCGAGGTCAGTGAAGTGCAGTGCATGGCGCTCTCCCAGGTCCACAGCACAGGAGCGCAGCGCCCCATTGTGCAGTCGCCACAGCCGCACACTTCCACGGCCACAGGACGCCATCCTGCAGGGAGGAGCAGGATGCAAACAAGACCGGTATCACAGACTGGGCCGGGGCAGTGGGGGCCATGTAAGGTGTGGGGGCCACGTGAGTGTGTGGGCCGTGTCACCTGGTGTCATCAGAGGCCACAGCCCAGGACTGGACATCTGAATCAGTGTGCACCTTCGCAAGGATGACCACCTCACCCCCGAGGCCCACACGGTCAGTACTCCAGGCCACCACAATCTGCAATGGAGTCTGCGTCAGCTGCGATGACAATCAGTGCACCCTGTCCTCTGTACTGCTCTCCCAAAGCACCGTGCAGTAAAGCTGTGGGGAGTTCGGGCCCACAAGGCCCAGGCTCACAACTCAGGACGATAGCTGGTCTGCCCCTGGGCAACTGGAGCCAAGTATGCTGCTCAGACAAGACTGGCACTGACCCCCAATGCCAGAGTTCTGAGGCACGTATAGGGAACCCCATGGATGTGTGCCACAAACAAACGGATAGGGCATGTCCCCTGGTCGCCAATGACAAGTATTGTGCATGTGGTAGATTAGGACTGCCACCCAAGAGCCCAAGGAAGGTGCTCCGGCCTTGCCCCAGAGCTCTGCTCTTGGACCATGGTGTGAAGACACAAGACACCATTCTCTACCAGTCAGATCTGATTTGACGGTACACGCACACAAAAATAATAAAATTTAAAAAAAAAAAAAAAAAGACACCATTCTCCCCTCCTCCACCCCCAGAGAGTTTCCTAGCACCTGGGTCAGGGTGGGAGGCGGGGCACAGGCCCCCAGATGCGTCCAGGCAACTGGGGGGAGGAACGCATCCAGGTGTTCTTCTAAACAGTGTGGGGTTTCCTACCTTAACAAGCAGAGATGGCCCTGGCCCCACCTTCCCAGCCTGAGCAGTTACCGTCCTCCCATGCTTGTCCTTGCCGACACCGCAGAGAATTGTCCCGCTGTCAGAGAAGCTGCAAGCGCAGCACAAGGCACTCAGCCATAGGGAAGGCACTCACTCAGCACTCACTCTCCAGGGCACACAGGGGAGGCCCTGCCCACCTGAGGGAGCTGACTGTAGACACTGGGCTCTGAAACATGGAGAGGCAGCACCCCTTCTGGAAATTCCAGAGCCGCACCATGCTCGGGAGCTGTGCCTGAGCCGAGGCCAACAGCAAGTTGCTCCGGTCCAGTGCCAGGGCGGAGACCTGAGGAGGCAGCTCTGGCTTCAGGGAGGGCTCCAAGGCTACACCCGGCCCCCTCACCAGCAAGAGCGGAGCCCACCTTGTCTGTGTGGCCAAGGAAGAAGCGCTGCCTGCCTGTGTCAATCTGCAGAACCACGAGGACTGCATGGCAGGGGTACACGACAGCGGTGCCATCCTTGGTCCACAGGGCCTGACAGGAGGGCCAGGATGGAGGTGAGGAGCGCCTAGCCACTCTTGGCTACTCATGTCCCCATTTCTGCTCACACACACCAACACTCAACCACCCCAGGAGAGGGGACACACGGACATCATGCTACACACAGCAGAAAGCTAAAATTTATACGCACGGACTGGCACAAACAC